GGAGGAATATAACAGAAACAAGAACGGTTTGCAAGGACTGGATGCGATGAGTGAGTGAATGGTGTTGGTGTAAATTAGACTTGCTGCATTTTCTGTTTCTGTATCATTCCTTGATTTCTTCTGGCTACTTTTCTGCATTTTGCAGAAGGGTGTCGTGAGAATTTGCATAAGTACAAATTGGTGGCCTCATTTAGCAAACCATAGATTGAGATTTGGCTCGGTTATGCCACACGGCAGTCAGTCTTTCGTGTTACAGCAGTGCAACAGTAGGAAAAGATGCGGTTCCCGAAATGAAGGAAACTTTTCTTCATGCCTACAGAACAGCTGCAGGAGCTGGAACGAATAGGCCTCCCAACTTCAGATTTTCATGGCAAATCTTTCTCTAAAACTAGCAGGTCTTTAGAGCTCTGGGTGGCACAATCATTAGAATGCAGTATTGCAGGCTAACTCTGCCCACTGCCAGGAGTTCGATCCTGATTGGCTCAAGTTGACTCAGCCTTCCATCCTTTCCAGGTCAGTAACACGAGGACCCAGATTGTTGGGGTGCAATATGCTGACTCTGTAAACCACTTAGAGAGGGCTGAAAAGCAATATGAAATGCTATATATGTCTAAGTGCCATCTCTAAAAATATATAAATCAAATTAGAGCCTGGTAGTACAGTGGTCTAAAGCACCCTGTTATTAAGACCAGCTGCCTGCAATTACTGCAGGTTCGAATCTCGCCAGGCTCAAGGTTGACTCAGCCTTCCATCCTTTCTAAGGTAGGTAAATTGAGGACCCAGTTGTGGGGGCAATAAGCTGACTTTGTATAAATATACAAAAAGGATGAAGGCTATTGCTTAGCGCATTGTAAGCTGCCCTGAGTCTCCGGAGAAGGGTGGCATATAAATCAAATAAAAAAAAATTGAATTTAGTTCTGATTTATGGTACCTTTTAAAAATCTGGCCGTGAACTTACTCCCAATGGCTCAGATGGAAAGATCCATTGTGGCTTTCAGAACTGGGCATCCAAATTCCATTGACTTATCTTCCCCAATCAGCTGTTTCACTTATCAGTATTGATATCATATATTCTAGCATTTTTAAGGGCCACTTAAACAAAGCCCTAGTAACTGGGTCAGAGAAAGGAACGAGATCTCTGAACCAGTGAGAACAGTTACCATTGTTACCTGCCTTCACCACTGAGCCACGGTGGCGCAGTGGTTAGAGTGCAGTACTGCAGGTTACTTCTGCTGACTGCCGGCTGCCAGCAATTTGGCAGTTCGAATCTCACCAGGCTCAAGGCTGACTCAACTTCCAACCTTCTGAGGTCGGTAAAAAGATCGATGGGGGCAATATGTTGAATCTGTAAACCACTTAGGGCTGTAAAACATTTTATGAAGTGGCGTAGAAGTCTAAATGCTGTGGCTATTCTGTACCAGCATTTGACATTCACGGATTCTCCTCTCCGCCCTGGCCCACCCATCTAAGTCAGTACACTGATAGCAATAAGGACTCAGCAGACAACTGGATGCAAAACATTATTTATTACTGGTATGTTCAAGGTCATCCTTCGACACAAAGCCAGTGGGGCAGTCAATTACTGTTTTTGCCTGACTCCTTGAGCCATTACCGGTCCAGTTGGAATACATATACCATACCAAGCAATAATAGTGACAAAAATACAGTGGATTCTTTGCAGCTTCGAGAACGCTCTGTATTGCACAAATCCATCTCATTATTCAAAAGCTAACACTGCAGGACTCTCCATATTTGTTTCATAAAGACATCATTAACCTTCCCTTAAACAGATGCGGGGGGGAAAGAACACGAAGATCAAAATCACCTTTCAAAATCACTACGGTATTCAAACTATATTGATTGCAAAACTTTGCAGCAATGACAGGTTCAGATCCCTTCCATGCCCAGTCTTTGTACCACTCCTGAATGAAAGGCCTCGGTAATCTCACACTATTCCGAATCTTCAGCCCATTTCTGACAATTCAGATAGAAGACCTCTGGAACCAATGACTCACATTTGTAATTCAAATTGCTCGAGTTCCGCAACGTTGAGATGAAGAGAAGCCATTTTCCTACCGGTGAAAACCCATTTCATCCTTGTCCCGAAGGTGTTTTTTCAAAAGGCAACGGGACTTTCTTCCTTTTTTCCTTGATGGCGTTTTGCCTCTCATCCAAGACGCTTTTTCAGTTCTGAAGAATGGAGGTGAATTCAGTCAGATCTGAAGAAGCTTCTGAGATGAGAAGCGAAACGTCCTCAAGGAAAAACAAAGAAAGTCCAGTTGCTGTTTGAAAAAGCATCTTTGGGACAACCAAGATGCTGGATGACTGAGAATCTTGGTAGTACAGTGGTCTAAAGCACTCTGTTATTAAGACCAGCTGCCTGCAATTACTGCAGGTTAGAATCTCGCCAGGCTCAAGGTTGACTCAGCCTTCCATCCTTTCTAAGGTAGGTAAATTGAGGACCCAGTTGTGGGGGCAATAAGCTGACTTTGTATAAATATACAAAAGGATGAAGGCTATTGCTTAGCGCATTGTAAGCCGCCCTGAGTCTCCGGAGGGCGGCATATAAATCAAATTAAAAAAAAAAAAAATCTCCGTAGAGCAAGTGAAATCCGCCCCGGTTTTATCCAACTCGTCGAACCGGTAGTGCCAGCAGCAGGAGGCTCCGCCCACCTGCCAGGACGCCATTACGTCCCGGTTTTTTTACCATCTGCGCGTGCACGGGTTTTGTACATGTACAAAAGAGGCACATGTGTGCATAGCATGCACACACATAGCACGCTCCCGTTCCCGAACTGGTAGCGAAGGTGAGTGGAGTTCACCACTGCCATAGAGATACCCATTGCATCCTTGCTTATAGACGGTATCCTCTGTACACAGAATTTAAGTCATCTTAACTTCCCAGGCACTTTTAAGTACAGGGATACTACCTTTTCAACTAATGACCCCTCATCCTGAATTAAGATAAGGGCAGGAGAACACTGGTCTTATTTTTTTTTTTTTGTGCACACCTTTGATCAGTAGAAAGGAGAACCTGCGAAACTTAGTACTGTGTGGAGGTTGGTAATAATGAAGGTGACATAGTTCAGCTTGGAACTGGATTTGAGATTGGAGAACCGAATCCCACCGTGGTCTTGAGCTACCTCTTTATTATGACTAACACAGACTTGGCCAACCGTTAAAATTCCTTAGATTGCTGCAGTTACTCATGGAAAAATCTTAATATCTTGGTTCTCAGACAAAGCCCAAGGAAGTCCGGGGGGGGGGGGGGGAAGAAGAAATGATTTTGTGAATTGTAAAAACTTTTAAAAAAAAACAAAAATTGGAAAGCTAGCGATTAAATGAGTCATATCTTTAGAATGAAGCTTCTTAGTGACATTTCCTCAAATCTCTGAGTGGCTTGCCCCAATGAGTGTTTTACTCTAAGGAAAGGCTATCAATATTTGTAAAATAGTGGTAGAGAAAGAATGTGTGGTAGAAAAAAAACAACAGAGCTGCTTGATGAGAGAGGAAATATTTTCTGCCATCTTGCTGGAGATTTTTCTATTTCTTTTTTTTTTTTCATTGTCTAGTTGACTGCCTTGATCTACTGATGCAAACATAAATGCCTTTATTTATTCATTCAACAAACACACACACACACATATATCAAATTTATATTTGCTGATAAAGAAATAAAGGAAGACTAGTATAGCTCTATTTCAAGCTATTTAGCTCTCATCAGCTAGCCATGCCCTTACTGGATAAGGGTATGGCTAGCTGATGAGAGCTAAATAGCTTGAAATAGAGTTATACTAGTCTTCCTTTATTTATCAGCAAATATAAATTTTATACAAATAAACTATCAACCTCAGAACTCTCATGCAATATCGGCCAAACATTTGGGATGCTGGGGACTGTAATTCTAAAGCAGGGGTCGGCAACCCGGGGCTCTGGAGCCGCATGCGACTCTTTCATCCCTCTGCTGTGGCTCCCTGTTGCCAGTCGGTGCCACAATTTTGAGAGGAGCTTCCGTTTTGGGGGTTGGGAAGCATAGTATGCCAGGAAGAGACTATGGCAAGGTGCGGATTTTCTGGCAGGCTCCACAATTGACAGAGCTTTCGGTTAGGAAAGATAGAGGGAAAAGGACGCTGCGCTAGGAGGAGACTCTATGGTGGGGGAACCGGACTTCTGGTCGGCTCCAGAATTGAACGGGGGGGCTTCCGGTTAGAACCTTTGTGGCTCTTGGGAGTGTTTAAGGTTGCCGACCCCTGATCTAAAGCATAGCAGGTTTCCCATTTCTATTTGAGTAACAAAGAGAGCCTTGAACCAATCAGATGTTAGCACCAGAGACCTATGGGAAAGCTTTTCCATTTGAACATCAAGTCATGAGCAACCGTCAAAAGCGGTGAAGCGGACTCTGTTTGTTCTAGCTTTAGATTTCAGATGGAAGACCAGCATGATGGAACAAGAGAGGCACTTTCCCCTTAACTCATACTTGTCTTTTGAGATGGCCAATTCCTGCTTCTGTTTAATATTCTGGACAGCCTAGTTTAGCTTTGAACATCTGTGGGGTCCCCCTCCCCCCTCTGTGTGTTTGTGTGTGTGTGTTAAGCATCTAATCCTTCAACTGAATTTCGCAACAACTCAAGCTGGGTACAGTTCTACTACTCCAAGTAGTCTTTATTTGCTGCAGAAAGGTATCAAATGTTTTGCCCTAAGTGGTCCCAAACTCCCTTTGGATGTACTCATAAACAGGGAAACTTTCAAAATATGCAAATCGGCCCATCGCTAACACAATTAGAGGTAAGAACCCAATCTCTTTGCAGCGATTATCCCTGCAGGAAGCATTACAGAATGAACTTAACCACGATCCATTGGGTCTGGTTACATTTCAGGATGTGAATTCATTCCTAGGTGGTTTTACGCAGGAAGAAAGAAAAAAAACACTATGTAAATCAACCGGAATGTTACACACAGACGTGTATACACAAACCCACAGAGTAGACATCTGCACAGCGTTAAGATTGAATACTCATCGCCTTACGTCTTTACTCAGCATTATAATCAGATAGTAAATCTAAAATTAGGCTGGAAGTAAAATTCGATCAGCTTGAATTGCCCCCTCCCCCCCCAAAGGTCTAGGCCGATTCAGCAATTTACTCATACATCATTCATTCAGCGAGAAAAGGATGGAGAAAGGTGCTTTCTAAAAAGGAAATAGCTTTTCTGGATAAACGGGGGTTCTACCCAGCTCAAGTTGGCAGCTTCTTTTAGCTCAAAGTTCAAAGGCTTAGAGGCCAGAGGTTCTTCAGGCACCAATCTCCACGGTTCAAAACTGATAAAAAAGCTAATTTTGGGCTCCAAGTTTTCTTTGGCACGGACCCTTTGAGGAAAACAGATGTAAATAATGCCGTTTCATCGATGCTGAAGACACGAATCCTGGCTCTCTCTTCAGAATTAGTGGCGTCATTTCTTTACCAACTTTTCTAAAACCTTCTGAACCTTCATTTGCAGTCTACGTCAAGGTCCTTGGGCCAGTATTGATCATCCATGTAGCAACTGTCATCGGTATCACCTTCCGGGATGCCGTCTGAAGGGCCTGTGGGGTGACTCGGCGTCAGGAGTTCCTCCCATTGAAACTCTACCAATCTGTAAAGCTCCATAGAAGCTTGAGCGTCTTCAACAGATGAATGCCCGCGTTTGCCAACCTGGGAGGCCAAAAACAAACAAACCCACAAAACGCTATAAGTAAAACCCTCCATTTAGAACCATCCATTTACCCACCATTTGAAGTGACAATGGCACTGGAAAAAAATTAGGCTTTGGAGCAAAGGTAGTTTTAGCGATTCATCTGCTGGGTGATGAGATGACCTCTGCCTCCCAGCAAATCATTGCAGCAAACAGCAAACAGCCTGCTTTATTTCCATTTTCATTTTCAGCACACCTTGATTAGCACAAGAAAAAAAAAAATCTGATCCCAGCAATTTACCTCCTTGCCCGCGCAGCAATAGGCAATGGCAATCCCTGCAGCCTGAAACAGCCGAGAGTCGGGAGGCCGATCCAATGGACAATCAAGTTGTGCTAATTAGACTGTGCTGAAGCTGAAATAGGCTGTACGAGGATCCTCCCGAGCTCAGTTTTCACCGGCAAAGGGTTGCAGGAGGCTGTCGCAGCCAAAAACTAAGCTCTTTAGTCCGTTTTCTCTGGTAGAGCGCCCTCGACATGAGTGACGTTGAGCTGGCTGTGCCCATCCTGGCCATGCCCACTCTGCCCCACCCCCTGGGGGTCAAACACAACCTGGTGTGGCCCTCAATGAAATCGAGTTTGACACCCGATATAGATATTAGATAGAAATCTAGATCGATTGATCTATCATCTATCTATCTATCTATCTATCTATCTATCTATCTATCTATCTATCTATCTATCTTCTATCTATCTATCTATCTATCTATCTATCTATCTATCTATCTATCTCTATCCAGCATCCATCCATATCCATCTATCCATCTGCCTATCGTATATCAAATATATCAACCCAGCAGATGGGTTTGGGCAGATATACACCCACACACATTTGCTAAACCCTGAGAGGTGACTGGGCAATCACAGCACGTAATTATGTTCATTAGGAACCAAGTGGCACTACAGGATATTCAAAGATCTCAAGGAATATCCCTTGAACTGCAAAAACAACCTTGCATCAAAATAACCCAAGACAAGGTGCGCTTAACAACTTTCAGATGTAAGGCAACCGAATGATACTAGGGGTGGAGTTTTTTTGCAGGATAATTCTGCTTTTCAGCTCTTGAGGAAATGAAAGATGGCGAGTTACCTGAATGTTTTTGTGCAGCAGCTGATGAGCTAGGCTCTTGAGAGACATGCTTGGTTTCAGAGTTGATGCAATCTTCTTCTTCAGCAGAGGACACTGACTTGTATCACGCCTCCAGGCTCGGGGGGGAAAGTATTTTAAGGCTCGGAAATCATTGTGGAGAGCATGGCCCACAACTATTTTATCCTTCAAGATCTGTATGATCTAAGAAAGACAAAAAAGGTTAAAATTTGCCACAGTTGTTCAGGAAAGGACAACTGTAGGCTACTCAAACAGGCAGACCAATATCTATTTATCTGTTCGTCTGTCTATCTATATCAATATCAGTGCCATGCCCCTGCCGGAGTCTGAATCCGAAGGGGAAGAGGAACAGCTGACAGAGAGTGAGAGAGTGACTCCGTTGGCTGTGGAGGAAACTGGGGAAGTGCAAAGTCAGGCTGGGCAGAGCAGGGCAGAGGTAGAACAAGGGAGAGGGGGTTCAGATAAAGACCAAGGCCTACCCCCTCCTCATCCTAGGCAGTGTAGGTAGGTACGGAGAAGAGAGCAACATGGGTTGTGTGGCTTACGAGGGAGGAAAGGGCCCCGATCCTCTTTACAAGGCACAGCTGCTGATGGGAGTTTAAAAGTAGAGGCAAATGGGAGGACCGGTTGTCGGGAACGAACTCTGAGTTCATCTGGTGCTTATCTGAGTTCCTGGCATCCTCCCAACTGCTTTGATTTACTGCCGTGCTACTTCACTTCTGGAATTCCCTATTTTGCTTGCCCTGCTGGATTAATTACTTTGTCTTGCCTTGTGGGATTTTTAGTTGAAAGTTTTCTGTTTACGACGTTTGGGACTGAAGTACGGTCAGCCAAAGACTATTACAGGGGGGGGTGGAAGAGCTCTCTCCAGGACGGAGAGTTGAAAGGAACATTGGGGGGCACAGTTGGTGATAATAAAGGGACTCATATCAGTTCTCTGGCTGTTGCCTTTGTGTCACACCTCGGGTCATCACAATCAATATATTTTTCATCATATCTATCATCTTCTATCAATATCTTTCTTTCATCATATTTATCCATCATCTTCTCTTTTCTATTAATATGTATCATTATCTATCTATCAATAGCTGTCTTCATCATTCTTTGTCTATCATCATCTATCATTGTATGTATGTATGTATGTATCCATCCACCCACCCTTTGATTTTTTCCAATTAATCTAGACATTTTTTATTTTCAAAAACAGAGAGAAAACTTGTAGTGACACTTAAGGAAAACAATTCAAACCATGTCTAATTTCCTGCAACTCAACTGCTGAGCATCCACGAAAATGGATCCAACAATAGAACAAGTGAGAACAAGAAGAAATCAATAAAGTAATTGGGACCCTCAAGATATACAGCGGTGCATAGTCTGTGAGGAGGAGAGCTGTAAAAAGGTTAAAACACAAACTAAACAAAATTGATCAATGAGGACTTAAAATGCCCTAGCTTCTGAATTTTAACTGCTTCCTATTAAAAACGGACAAAAGGAAAATGAAGTAATAGGTGGATGGATGGATGGATGTGACGTGAAAAACAGCGGAATTGATCAAGCAGAAATGATAAGATCATCTTCACTCATAATCAAGTGAAGCTGATCAGGCATCAATCAATAATTTAGATATCTGAACCAACCAGACAACTGGGAATTCAGGATTTAGCGCCTTTCAACTCTACAGTGCTATGACTGTGGATACAAGTATTGTTGCTTGCCTATCATTCTGCACTTTCTTGCAGATTCTGGTTGAATTATTATTATGCATCTCTCAACCCTCACATTGTATGGATACTCCTAAATTAATCTCTTGCGCTTACCTCACCCTGTGCAATCCTGAAAGAAATTGCTTTTCTCATGTGCTTCCAGGTGATGCCACTCCAGCGCGTCCTATAATCTACTATTGGACTTTCTGGAAGAATGTATTTGTCATAGATCACATCACCATCATAGCTCACTACCGTACAGCGTGCCAACTCGCTCGTCTTTCCGGAAGGACCCGTCCCTACCATTTCACAGTCAATGGCCACACGCGTCATAGATTTCTGAGGCATCTGACACAGGAAGGGACTACTCCTTTTTCTGGGGGAGGCTAGCAGGTTCTGAAGACCTTGGGAAGATGACGGCTGCTTGGCTAGTTCCTCAGAGGAAATGGAGACAGCTTCACCAAATCTGAAAGAAGTCTCCTGAGTTGTCATCACATCCTTCTGCAAAACCTGGCTACTTCCGTTTTCCCAGGACGACGAGTCCTGCATCCCATCCATTTCAGAGACCTCTGTGGTTCTCACAAGATTTTTCTCCTGTGTTCTGGTGGCCAGGTGTCCATTCTGCTCCAGTGCTCTGCGCATCATGTAGCGCTGGTGCTTCCGGCTTTTCTTTTTGTCCTGAGTGCCAGCTTTGTCATCCCAACAAAGTTGATCGAGATTACGACTTAGGTCCCTTCCGGTATAGGGACATTTGACAATCGGAACATTCATCATCTCCTGGCTACCTACCTGGTTGATCTTTTGGGGGCTAATCACCCCTGGCACAGATTTGATGCTAGAGGACATCCTACCAAAAAAAAAAAGAAAAAAAAAAAAAGAGATGCGACCCAGTTAATAATGTGAATTGAGGAAAGCCCCTGGTCTGAAAATAAGAAAGTCGTCAGATTTTTTTTTTAAAAAAAGGTGTTCTTTCTGCAAATGGGACAGGGTGGATAAAAATCGATGATTTTTTAAACAAAAAAAATATCTATTTTTTTAAATTTAAATCGTATTTTTTTAATTTAAATCGTATTTTTTTATTTTATTTTTTTTATTTTAATAAAATGCTTTTGGAGTAAAAATCTATATAAAGATAGTTTTCTATTTAAGATACATTAATAATTTAGTTTATTCAGCATGAAATGGAGCTTAGTTGTGTAGCATGAGGAGGCTGTATATTTTGCAATATTGGGACTGTCGCAGGGGTGAAATCTACTTACCTTCCTTACCAGTTCGGAAGCACATGCTCCGCGCATTCGCTTCATTCATGCGCACGTCACATGCATGTAAAAAAAGGTAAAAAAACATCACTTCCTGGTTAAAACCAGGAAGTAATGACACCCAGGCAGCGATCGCTACCGGATTGCCGAACCACAGGGAAAAATCGCTACCGGATCGAGTGATCCGGTCCGATCCGATACATTTCACCCCTGGACTGTCGGTGAGTCAACAGCAGATCAGAGGAGGAGCTGCTGTGGGACAGAGATGACAGTTGCTCTTTAAATCGTGTTGATTTAAATCAAGCCTTTTTACTGGTGATTTAAATCATGATTTAAATCTAGTAAAAAGGCTTGATCCACCCTGAAATGGGAAGACATTGTTCATCTTTTCTATTGGGAATGAAGCATTGTGTCCATATTAGGAAGTCATGACTAGTCATACAACTTATTTAACCATTTCAATTAATGACTTCGCTGTTAAAAGCCATAGTATCATAAACTGTTAATGCTAGTTTGGAATATTTTTGTGTGGTTTATGCAGAACAAATCTACTCTGTTTAATTAGCTTATAATTCACTGCAGTATGAGACTCCAGAAAATTGGTTTATTTAAGTGCTAGGTTGCCTTAAATAAGTAAAAATCTCCATAGTGACGAGAATAGTAATAATTTTCCAGCTCTTAAGAGAGATCAGAAAAGAGCATAAATGCACCTCCCAAGAGAAACACTCTATAAGTCTGAAAACTCCATAGGTAAAGACTAATTTGTTGGCAGTGACAACTTCCACCTCCTAAGGCAGAGGTCTTCAAACTTGGCAGCTTTAAGACTTGTGGACTTCAACTCCCAGAATTCTCCAGCCAGCATAGCTTAGGACTCCTGCCCTAAGGTCTCTAATGCATGATAAACACTGCATTTAAAATATTAGAAAGGAAAAAAGAAGCAACAGTTAACACTCAAGACCTGCATCTTGTACGGGTTCAAAAAAAGTTCTATCAAAAGCTTTTTAAGATTTATCACCAAGAATTTGGCTACAACGTGCAAAGTAAGTTACAAACCAACATAATTAGAGCCGTGGTGGTGCAGTGGTTAGAATGCAGTACTGCAGGCTAACTCACTGCTCACTCCAGAAGTTCGATCCCAACCGGCTCAAGGTTGACTCAGCCTTTTATCCTTCTGAGTTCGGTAAAATGAGGACACAGTTTGTTGGGGGGAAGATACTGACTCCGTAAACCGCTTAGAGAGGGCTGGAAAGCACTATGAAGCGGTATACAAGTCTAAGTGCAAAGTGATATTGCTATGGCAAGCTAACTCTGCCTACTGCCAGCAGTTTGATCCTGACTGGCTCAAGGTTGACTCAGACTTTTATCCTTCTGAGGTCAGTAAAATGAGGACACAGTTTGTTGGGGACAAGATGCTGACTCTGTAAACTGCTCAGAGAGGGTTGGAAAGCACTATGAAGTATACAAGTCTAAGTGCTATTGCTAAGTGCTATAACATCCTAAGGCCCAAAACTTTCATACCAATTTTGGACCTCTTTCCATTTCATGGGGGAGGGGGAGGTTTTAGCAAACAACAAAGAAACATTCCTATCCATACTGTTATCTTTTTTATAAGGGACCGGAGAAATAACTTGTAGATATCCGATGCTTCAGTTTACATCCAGAGCTGCTGCAAACCCATATATATATATATATAGTACTTTCATACGATTTAAGCCAAACATTATGGTTTAAGATTACATCTGGAGCTGCTGCACACCTTGTGTAAGTACTTTCATACGATTTAAGCCAAACGTTACTTATGGTTTGCTAAGCAAAGATAACTGACTAGGTTTACACATGATAAAGTTGCTCTCAAGTCTACCTCATACCAGGTGTCTGCATTATTTTCCAACTTCTGCAAATGTTGGACTTTTTAGTCTAGTCAAGTCGTGTTTCTTACCCTTGCCAACTTTTAAGATGTGTGGGCTTCAGTTCCCAGATACAATTCCTACAGTTGGGGAATTCTGAGAACTGAAGTCCACGCATCTTTTTTAAAAAAGTTTTTTTTATTTTTCAATTACAAACATAATTATTCCATCTGTCCATCTGCAGTGTCCATTTGGTTATAAACATCTCTGTGCAACCTCATTCACTATTTTCCATCTCATTCGCATTCACATAACATTATTTCGCTAAGCTTAATATTATAGTATATCATAAACATTATAAAGCTCTCCATTCTTAATATCTTATAATAATAATACATTTTAACATTACATATCCTTATTCTCATTATATATATATACTAACAATTTCCTTTTTATTTACATCTTTATCTTAATGTATTTTTACTTTCTCTTCAATCTTCATTTCCAAACTCCTTTTCTTCCCCCAGCCATTGATAAAATACCTCCCATATCACATAATATGCATCTTAAAGAGAAACATTCCATGAGTTTTCGCCTTTGACATCCGAATAACAAGCCAGATCTCACTTTTCATTTCTTCTTTCGTTTTTCCCATCCTGCTATGACCAGGATCCTAGGCCACCACCCACCAATAGAATAGAATAACAGAGTTGGAAGGGAGCTCTGAGGTCTTCTAGTCCAACCCCCTGCTTAGCAGGAAACCCTATACCATTTCATGATCCAATTTCTTCTGCAGAAAAAACAATTACTACCAACCTGCCTTCCATTGAGGACCTGTATACTGCACCAGTCAAAAAGAGGGCTGGGAAAATATTTACAGATGCCTGGCATTCTGGACATAAACTGTTTCGAACTCCTACCCTCAAAACGACACTATAGAGCACCGCACACCAGAACAACTAGACACAAGAACAGTTTTTTCCCAAACGCCATCACTCTGCTAAACAAATAATTCCCTCAACACTGTCAAACTATTCACTAAATCTGCATTACTATTATTATTAATCTTCTCATTGTTCCTATCCCCCATCTCCTCCCACTTACAACTGTATGACTGTAACCTTGCTGCTGGTATCCTTATGATTTATATCGACTGTTTCCTAGTATGATTTGATTGCTTATTTGTTCCCTATAACTATCACTAAGTGTTGTATCTCATGATTCTTGATGAATGTATTTTTTTATGTACACTGATAGCATATGCACCAAAGACAAATTCCTTGTGTGTCCAATCACACTTGGCCAATAAAGAATCTAATCTAATCTAATGTAATAAATTAGCCCCCACCCCTTTCCTAGAGGAATGAAATATTATGGGAAATATTAAAAAGGCAGAATATTATGTTTCCTTGGATGAGAAATGGAGAAGCATGTTTTAAGGACGAAGCAGCTCCCATCTTCCTGCCCCCACCCTTTGTCAAAGGGCCAGAGGCAGAAACTCAATCTTTGTCAATAGACCATCATCTGCAACACAATAGGACCCATCTAGCAACAGAAACTCACCACATGGCACCTGGGAAGATTAATCAGCCAGCAAGGCTAGCTAAGACCCCCCACCCCCTGGGAGTCTGACAACCAATCAGGATACTCTTTCTGGGTCCCAGGAAGTTCAAAGCCAGAGAGGGCATAAAACCGGGGGACTCAATGCGTCTCATCCCTTTTTTCTGTTCAGGAACTCAAGCCATGTGATCCTGTCCACCATTAAACTATCTTTCCAAGCAGTCTCCATGTTTCCAGTGTCTTTTTCCCCACTTGGAGCTGAACCCAGAAGGCTATTTCTTCCTACACTAATCTAATCTACCACCAATAGCCTCCCACCGGCCAGTACGCTCCCATAGAGAGGGGCTCCTCCGGGTGCCGTCGGCCAAACAATGTCGACTGGCGGCCCCCAGGGGGAGAGCCTTCTCTGTGGGGGCACCTACGATTTGGAACGAGCTCCCCCCGGAGATACGTAGGATCCCGGATCTGCGCACCTTCCGCCGCGCGCTTAAGACTTTTCTATTTTATCAAGCTGGCCTGGCCTAAATCTTCCCCCTTTTTAAATGTGGAAATTTTAAATTTTTAAATTTTAAATTCGTCTTATTTATAGGGGTATGGGTAAGGCGTTTTAAATTGGGGAGCCATTTTAGATTTAATTCTGCTTTAAACGTATTTTAATTGTTTATATTGTATGTTTTTAATTTTGGCTGTTCACCGCCCCGAGTCCTTCGGGAGAGGGGGCGGTATAAAAATCTAATAAATAAATAAAATAAATAATCTAATCTAATCTAATCTAATCTAATCTAATCTAATTCTAATTAATTCTAATTCTATTCTTTAAAAACTTCCAGTGTTGGAGCATTTACAAGTTGTTGCACTGATTTTACACTGGAATTTACAGACCACGATTGATGGGCTCTCCGAAATTAAGCCCAAGTCAACCCAAACCACCTTATCATGACTGACTTTAAGAAACAGAAATAAAGGGGCTTTTCCCCATCCTGCTATATAAAGGGAGCTAATTGAGGTCTCAGCCTTTCCTGCGGGGTCTTTCCTTCCCTTATTCCAGGGCTGCCCCTTTCCTACCCAACAGCCCCAGAGCAACTTCCCCCAAGCCCCCAAAATTTCTGATTCTCGAAACTTCTCCCCCTCCCCCCCCCTCCGCAACTCCGCAAATCAGCCCCCCCCCATTTAGCCTTACCTAGCTAAAGCCGGCTTCGCACGTGTCTTTCCCGGAAGCGGGGAAAAAAAAAAAAACCTACGGCTCGTATCCGGACCGGGACGGCGTTGCCGGCCACGCCTCCTCCGACTTGATTGGCTGCTTTGGCAAAGAGAAGGCGGAGTTGATTTGCATCCTAAATCGCCCCCGCTCCCGCGGACTTTTTTTTTTTTTTTTTAAAAAACAGATGACTCTTGCCTGCGCATGCTCACACGCGACTCGTGGTGCCTGGAATCGGTGGGGGGCGAAGCGTGGTTGTGCATTGCATCTTACAACTTTCTTTTCTTATTTTTTTTGTAGCTTGACTGCAACGTGTCTCTCTTTTTTTTTCTCTTTCTTTCTCTCTCTCTTTTTCTCTTTCTCTCTCTTTCTCTCTCTCTCTTTTTCTCTTTCCCTTTTTCTCTCTCTCTTTTTTCTCTCTTTCTCTTTCTTTTCTTTCTTTCTCTTTCTCTTTTTTCTTTCTTTTTCTCTTTCTCTTTTCTCTTTTTCTTTCTTTCTCTTGTTCTCTTTCTCTCTTTCTTTCTCTCTTTCTCTCTTTCTCTCTCATTTTCTTTCTCTCTCGTTCTTTCTCTTTCTCGTTCTTTTTCTTTCTCTTTCTCTTTTTCTCTTTCTCTTTCTCTCTTTTCTCTCTTTTTCTCTTTCTCTTTCTTTTTTCTTCTTTTTCTCTTTCTCTCTCTTTCTCTCTCTCTTTTTCTCTTTCCCTTTTTCTCTCTTTCTCTCTTTTCTTTCTTTCTCTTTTTTCTCTCTTTTTCTCTTTCTCTCTCTCGTTCTTTCTCTTTCTCGTTCTCTTTTTCTCTTTCTTTCTCATTCTCTTTTTCTCTTTCTCTTTTGCTCTTTTCTCTCTTTTCTCTTTTTCTTTTTTTCTTTTTTCTTCTTTTTCTCTTTCTTTCTTGTTCTCTTTCTATCTTTTTTTCTTTCTCTTTCTCTCTCTCTCTCTCTCTCTCACACACACACACACACAGAGCCTTGCGACGCCTGATAGGGCTGTAGGACTGCAGAAACAAAAGGATAATCATCAGCATCATTTTGGTGGCATGTGTTGTGCAGTTAACGACGGCAACTTGTGACGTGCTAACTAAAGAAATTACAAGGAAATGGGGAGGGGAGAAATAGCAGGCATTTATGGGAGAGCATCGATGCCTCCGTGTCATCCTTTACGCACACACACACATACATGCATAAGCAAACTCACCCTTTAATAGGATTACTGTACCAGACGCCTAGAAAAAAAGGATGTGTCAGCCTTCCCTTTTCTGTCCTCCGGCAAGCAGAGCCTTGAATTATCATCCAGCTATTTTAAGCGTCTTGGGGTTTGTTTGTTTTTTATGGATTGTTTTCACTCACTCCAAGTTTTCACGGACAGCATGCCAAAGCTACGTAAGAGTACTAAGAAAAGAATCAAGAAAGGACATGTGTTGGAAATGTAACCAGATACCCAAGGACGTATTATCATATATGGTAGACATGTGTGAAAGCAAATATTGGAGAAAAATATATACACAGTTGGAGAAAACGTTAAAGCAACACAATAGACTTTTAAACCCGAAATATTTTTGCTAGGCATAATACCTGAAAAATATGATAAAGGGAACCTATACTTAATATGACCTGTCTTGGCAGCAGCAAGAATTGTATTTGCACAGTACTGAAAAAATGAGGAAATACAAATAGAGGATGATGTAATTAAAAAAAAAATAGATCGTGCAGAAATGGATAGATTGACACTAAAAATAAAAAAAAGATACAGAATACTTTTGAACATGGGACTTGTTTTATAAATGGTTGGATAGCAAAGGTAGAAATTAGGAGTGGGAAAAGTATTATTATATAAAAACAAATTGATCCAGACAGCACGCTGTTCACTAAGCACTTATGTATGTAATGTGAAAATATATCAATGAACTGTTAAAAAAAAAAGAGGACATGTATTGATGGGGCAAAATGTGTTTTACATTTCCCTTATGTAATATTATTGAAGCAAAAGTAATCATATATTCGCTTCCAAGAGTTCATAAATGGAAAGGGACTGGGGATCAAAATATTTGCAGTAGTTCTCGACTTACAACACTCCGTTTAGTGACCAAAGTTACAACAGCACTGAGAAAAGTGACATATGACCGTTTTTCACACTTTATGACCGTTGCACCGTCCCCACGATCGCGTGATCAAAATTCGGACGCTTGGCAACTGACTCACAGTTATGACCATTGAGGTTTCCTGGGGTCATGTGATCCCCTTTTTGCGACCTTCTGACAAGTAAAGTCCATGGGAAAAGCAGATTCACTTAACAACTGTGTTACTACTGTAACAACCACAGTGTTTCACTTAACAAATGTGGCAAGGAAAGTCGTAAAACGGGGCAAAATTCCCTTAACACATGTCTCACTTAGCAACAAAAATTTTGGGCTCAGTTGTCATAAGTTGAGGACTATTGTGGTCTTGTAAATTGCCGCCTCCTTTTTTCCTCTGGCTGTCCCAACTAGATCTAGATTAGTTCATTGATTTTGTGATTCCAGCAATCCGCTATAATCTGGCTCTTTCAAATCTCATATTGCTATAATCTGTAGATTCCAACACTCATTGTAGGTTTCTATAGTGAAATCTGGAAAGTGCCATTGTGGATTCTCTATTATTTACTGACCTATGTTCTTGAAAGTAAAGATGCGTTGGGAAAATATTGCGATTGAAAAAGCAGCCTTTCTGATCCTGGAAGAAAGGTAATTTCATATACATGTACGTGGTGGCTCAGCGGCTAAGACGCTGAGCTTGTCGATCAAAAGGTCGGCAGTTCAGCGGTTCGAATCCCTAGCGCTGCGTAACGGAGTGAGTTCCTGTGACTTGTCCCAGCTTCTGCCAACCTAGCAGTTCGAAAGCACATTAAAAAATGCAAGTAGAAAAATAGGGATCACCTTTGGTGGGAAGGTAACAGCGTTCCGTGCGCCTTTGGCGTTAAGTCATGCCGGCCACATGACCACGGAGACATCTTCGGACAGCGCTGGCTCTTCGGCTTTGAAACGGAGATGAGCACCACCCCCTAGAGTCGGGAACAACTAGCACATATGTGCGAAGGGAACCTTTACCCTTACGTCTAACTACATTTCCTTGCAGCTTTTTGCTGTCATTTTTGTGATAGGTGCCAAGAAAGGTAACTAGTGTGTCCTTCCCTTCTCCCCTTTGTTCTCTTTTTTTAATTGTCTCTGTCCTCCTTTGCCTGTTCAAGGTATCTGGTCACCCTACCTTCTCAGCTCTTTGTGTTTTGCCAAGACAACTGTGTGCCTGTGTGGACAACAGCACATAGCAGGCTGTCTCTTGCGAGAGCGACTTTCATTAGCAGCTTTCCCCCGTGTCACATGGAGTGGAAATTGGCTGCAGTTGCATGTATGAAGTCTTCCCAACTGTCTTCTCGGCTTCTCATCCCTTTCCTGAGGTCCGTTTGTAGGTTTCCAATCCGTGCGTGGCTCGCGTTTGAATGGCAGGAAACTGAGATAGGGTTTGTGGGTGCCACTGTCTGCTGAAAAGGGGAAAAAACAGAAAAACACAAGACAAGGAAACAAACAAAGGAAAAGGAAGAGCTGTCGGCCTCCCTTGCAAAAGAGAAACCAATCTGATGATCAATAGAGGAGCTGCATCCTTCATTGTTGACTGGATCAACTTCCAATTTAGACTTACAGGAGTCTGTGCTTTTTTCCCTGCCAATTCCAACCCCCCCAACAAACTAAGCAACAGCGATCTTCAGATCCTGGCTCAGAAAATTTTGGTTAATGTCGTTGCTCTTCCTCTCCGGGAGAAGCAATAAGAAAGGAGACATTAGAAATCCCATGACATCTTCTCTGTTTATTTTGTAGAACCACGGCAAGCTACAGGAGTGGCCAAAATTGTGGAAACCTTTTGGGAAAAGTTGTTATTTTCTAAAACTAGCTAATAACACCACTTTCTTTTTTTTTATTTGGAGGAGTACCCTAAAATTATAGATCAATGGAAAGATAATTTAATCAAGAATGTAGTGCAATAACTTTTATGAAGGATCTGCTATAAGAATAGCAGTTACAGTATAAAGAAGAAAAGGGAAACACATAGAAAAAAATGAGATATACAAAAATTATCACCATGTCAGTTAATACTGAGTTGGGTAACCTTTAGCATGAATTACAGCTTTACAACGTCTTCCCATGGAGTAAACCAAGTCTTTTTTTAGTTCTGCAGCTGTTATCATGTGAAACCAAGATTTAATGATTGCTTCTATTAACTGGGTTTTATTGCTGGGTCGCTTCTGATTAACAAGTTTCTTTAGTCGGCTCCATAGATTTTCAATTGGCTGAAGGTCTGGGCTATTCCCAGGCCATTCCAGCAGTGGAATAGGAGTATCTTGAAACTCCAAAAAAAAAAAAAAAAGTGGTGTTATTAGCCATCAAACCTCAAAAATACACTTTTCCCAAAAGGCCTAAATTTTGGCCTAAAACTATTGTATCCTATATAGGTAGTTCTCGACTAACAATCACAATTGATCCTAAAAAGTTCTGTTGCTAAGCAAGCAAGACAGCTGTGGAGTAAATTTTACGACCCTTTTACAATTTTTTTTTTTTGCCACGGTTGTTAAGTGAATCTGAACTACAGAGGTTAGTAACTCAGCGGTAAAGTAAATCTGCCTTCCCCATTGACTTTATTTGTCAAAAACATCGCAAAAAGGTGATTGCATAACCCCGGGACACTGCAACCGTCATAAATATGAGTCAGTGGCCATCTCTCCGAATTTTGATCATATGATCATGGAGATGCTGCAAGGGTCTTCAATGTGAAGGGTGGTCATAAGTCACTTTAATCAATGCCATTGTAACTTGGAACGGTCACTAAATAACCTGTTCTAAGTTGAGGCATACCTGCAGTCTACATTCACGCAACACGCTAATCGAGTCTGATAATTTGCAGAAAATTTGGTGAGTGAAAATCTTGGTTTGGGATGGAGAGCTTTGCAAACCTACTTTTTGTGTGTGTGTGTGGAGTGGGGGGAGTTAAGTTTACGATTCCATCCTCTGGAAAACAAATGAAGTGGTTTTAGAGGGTCTGTTGTGCAGCCAAAGATTCAGATCAGGGTTTCTTTTAGATTTATCATTTACATTGACCAGTAACAGCATTCAGGGAAATTCCAAAAAACCCAGCTTTTTTTCCCAGCCTTATAGGTGGGATCACGGCTTCCAAATACATATGATAACCTAAAACTGCAACTCATTTGTGAATGTCATATTCAACGACGTTTTTGTTTCTCCATTTACTGAGTTCATGCAAGAAAAACAAGTGCCCGGAATTTGTCTTTTCTTCATGCCGTCCCTTTTTCTATTCGTTTTCCTGGTCACGTCTCATTAATCTTGGAAGAATCCCAGCATGGCAGCATTTTTAACTTGCATCTTTCCTTCTTGTCCTTCAACCCCCTGGAAGTCCAGGGCTGAAGAGAGAGATGGTAATTTGCACTCTCCTCTTGTGCAAATAAGATTTCTAACAAGGACAGGCTCCTGCTGGTTTCGTTGGTGATGGGCTGACAGGAAGACTGGCGGTTGCAAAGGGCTGTGAGGAGAACGGTGCCACCTGACCTGCTTCCTTCTCCTCTCCGCTCAGATACTGTACGGCAAGAGAGGAGTTTGCTGATGCACTGAACAAGGAACCAGAGCTTTGGATAAAGTTTGGGACACCTTCGCACAAACCACGCATCAGGTTTAACTGGCACGTACCATGTTTCCACTAAAATAAGACCCTGTCTTATACTTTTTTGAACCCTGAAATAAGCTCTTGGCCTTATTGCCATGCACTCAAAAGCCCGATTGGGCTTATTATCAGGGGATGTCTTATTTTGGGGGAAACAGGGTAGTAACGGATGGAGTGTACTGTCCATATCCCGATTCCAGAAAAAATTCTGGTGGTTAGTTTTAGTCTTAAAACCGCCCGAAGACTGTTAACCCTAAGTTAACATTCTGACCAGCTCTGACACTTGAAAGCTTTACTGAAGCAGAAACAGAAATAGTTTTGAACATGGAACTTTTCTTTTTACCAATGGTTAACTAACAGAAACGGAGGTTAGAATCGAAAAAGATATTAAAAAATTTTTGTATTGAAAATTTTGTAAGAGAGATAAATTAGATTCTATTATTATTTTGCGATTAATATTGGTAAGTTTATTATGATTACGATTATGATTAATGTTGTATCTACGGTACTTAAAACTAACTGTGCCCAGACAACAAGCTATTCAGATATGGAACTTTTTATGTGTATTAAAAATGTATTAATAAAACATATTAAAAAAAAAAAAGCTTTACTGAAGCGAAGGGGTAAACCTAATTCTCTCCATCTGAGACAAAATCCTCACAAGACATTTTAAAAATGGGCTCTTTCTAATCTCTCTCTCCCTTTCCCCCTCCCTTTCTCTCCCCCTCCCTCTCCCTCCCCCTCTCTCCTTCCTTTTTAAGTGTCACCTCTGCAGATGAAAAGAAAATAGAAGAGAGTGAGCTGTGTACCACGTTTCTCCGAAAATAAGACCCTGTCTTATATTTTTTTTGAATCCTGAAATAAGCGCTTGGCCTTATTTTTGGGGAGGTCTTATTATTTTGGGGCGCATGGAGGAAACCAGAGGAAATGGCGGGGACTGGCTGCACATGTGTTTAAATATTTTCGGGGAGGGCTTATTTTCAGGGGGGGCATTTTAGTGCATGCACTCAAAAAACCCGATTGGGTTTATTATCAGGGGGTGTCTTATTTTTGGGGAAGCAGGGTAGCTATTTGTGGATTTATTTATTGCTCTGGTAGAAAAGAAGTGAGAACCCGAGGAAGGAAGTGTGCACTGCCCATATTCCTTTCAAGAAGGTGGGAGGACATTAAAAGTGACACAGTGATCCCAGACGGTGTGATGCTAGTGCGTAATGATGTATGACTTCATCAGGGAAGGGAGCAACCTGATCAACCATGTCCTGCAAACAAGGTTAGCCTTAATGTGCGCCATGCCTTAATTAGACCTCATATGACATTCTTAGTCTGTTTCGAGTTAACCCACCTTCGGGGTGTCCAATTTATTGAGCCATACAGTAAGGTATCTAATTAGGACACCAAAAGAAAATTAAACCCAATATTAATAAAGCTATCAAGATGTATGAAATCATCTGCTACATCTTACAATAGCACTTAGACTTATATACTATCCACAGTGCTTTACTGCCCTCTCTGAATGGTTTACAAAGTCAGCCTATTGCCCCCAACAATCAGGGTCCTCATTTTATTGTCCTCACAAAGATGAAAGACTGAGTCAACTTGAACCAGTTAGGATCGAACTCCCAGCAGTGGGCAGAGTTAGCCTGCAATACTGCATGCTAACCACTGCGCCACCACAGCTAAAGATACTTTAGTTGTATCTCCTGACGTATGCCTAAGCAACCTTTGAGATTCAGTCATGTTCACAGCTTGAGATGTTTAACAATGTAAAGCTCTTCCTGGAAGACCAGGTGAATCTTAACTAGAAAAGCATTTGCACAATTTTGCCTGGTGCTCCAACAGCACAGCTTCTTAGAAAAGGAAATGTTGGCTTCAGCGAATGAGGAGCATCACCAGAGGTGGATTTCAGCAGGTTCTGACCAATTCTGGAGAACCGGTAGGGGAAATTTTGAGTAGTTTGGAGAACCGGTAAATACCACCTCTGACTGGCCCTGCCCCCATCTATTCTCTGCCTCCTGAGTCCCAGCTGATCGGGAGGATATGGGGATTTTGCAGTATCCTTCCCCTGCCATGCCCTCCAAGCCATGCCATGCCACGCCCACCAAGCCATGCCACGCCCACCAAGCCACATCCACAGAACCGATAGTAAAAAAAAATTGAAACCCACCACTGAGCATCACTCATTTCTCATATAGGCTACTGCAGTGCTCAGTTTATGTGGTAGCCCTTGAAGACTGCAAGTGGATACTGAAGCAGATTGAGTGATGATGTGTTTTATAAACTTTATTGTCTCAGTCTTACATTCACTGTACAGACTTCCGATTTCTTTTTGGATCCAGTGCAAAATAAGGGGCAGAGGCATGTCTTGTGGACAGTGCAGTCTTGAGGTCCACATTGAACTGATGTTAGCTGGAAGATATTCCAATGTCTTCTGTAGCCAGCAGAGAAAAGGCATTTCAAACCTGCCCTCCTATTGCTTTCCTTTCGAACAGCCACAAAAGCAACAGTGGAGGCGATTGGAAACAGTAAAATTCTTCAGCGCCCTCAAATACTTCATCCATCTTCTCGCCGGGTGGAAAACTAGGATGAAAGGAACCGCCAGAGTCGATCCTTTTTGATTCATCACTGAGGCAGGGACCAGACCCCATAAGGCAGACTGCGACTTGTTGTCATGAGATGAGCTACAGAAACAACAAAATCACTAGTCTTCCATAAGGAGTCTGGCAGAGATGCGCAATGGGTCTGCAAGCATGAATTCACTCCCTGTGACATCTGTATTCCCAAAGTGTCAGCAGTCTTCCAGTATCTCAGGGGTTTCCACAAAGAAGAGAGGGAGTCAAGCTATTCTCCAAAGCACCTGAAGGCAAGACAAGAAGCAATGGATGGAAACTAATCAAGGAGAGAAGCAACCTAGGACTAAGGAGAAATTTCCTGACAATTAGAACAATTAATCAGTGGAACAACTTGAATCCAGAAGTTGTGGATGCTCCAACACTGGAAGTTTTTAAGAAGAGGTTGGACAAACGTTTGTCTGAAATGCTATAGGGTCTCTGCCTGAGAAGGGGATTGGACTAGAAGACCTTCAAGGTCTATTCTATTCTATTCTATTCTATTCTATTCTATTCTATTCTATTCTATTCTATTCTATTCTATTCTATTCTATTCTATTCTATTCTATTCTATTTCTATTTCTATTTCTATTTCTATTCTACCCTACCCTACCCTACCCTACCCTACCCTACTCTACATTCTATTCTATTCTATTCTATTCTATTCTATTCTATTCTATTCTAT